CTTTTCATGTGTAAGGGAATAGCTTAGATCTTAGATAATAATTGTAAAACTTTAAAAGACATCAGGTTAATTGCTGACCAACTTGAATAACTGTTTGTTATCTGAATGTTGTTATATTGCCTTTGTTCTTTGAGACATTAGACTAGTTTCATTTTTCCAGACCAGAAGGTTATGGAATGTTATCTCACTAGTACTAACTTTATGAGACTGATCCATACATGTATTAAAGATATCCTTGAGGAAAATTTGAGATGCAAGCAAGCAGAATTTTGTGAATGATATTCGCAAGTGAACCACGTCTTCATAGTCACAAATTTACTGAGAGGTAGAGAGAATATAAAATGCTTGTTGAAAAACATATAAAAAAGCATTTAATTTTGTAAAGTAAAATGCAGCTGTCAAGACTCTGACAGGATGTATATCATGATAAATATAACAGATAAATTTGTTCCACAACTCCCTGATTTTAAGTGAGGTATAAAACAGAGATGTATATTCACCAAAAGTGTTTGCCACTGTCATAAAGGATGTCCCGACAGCAGAATTCAAATGAAAGAAGAATTCCCTAAAGCTGTCTATAGTCATATGAAAAAAAATGCTCTAAATCACTATTGATTAGAGAAATGCAAATCAAAACACCTTTGAGGTACCACATCACACCTATCAGATTGGCTAATATGACAAAAAAAGGAAAATGATAAATGTTGGAGAAGATGTGGGAAAATTACCAAAATTAATGCATTGTTGGTGCAGTTGTGAACTGATCTAGCCATTCTAGAGAGCAATTTGGAACTATGCCCAAAGGGCTGTAAAACCGTGCCATTGATCCAGCAATACCACTACCAGGTCTGTATCCCAAAGAGATCGTAAAAAAGGGAAAAGGACCCACATGTACAAAAATATTTATAGCAGCTCTTTTTGTGGTGGCCAAGAATTAGAAATTGAGGGGATGCCCATCAATTGGGGAATGACTGAACAAGTTGCGGTTTATGAATGTAGTTGGAATACTATTGTTCCATGAGAAATGCTGAGCAGGCAGATTTCAGAAAAACATGGAAAGACTTATATGAACTGATGCTGAGTGAAATGAGCAGAGCCAAGAGAACATTGTACGCAGTAACAGCCACACAGTGCAATGACCAACTTTGATAGACTGAGCTCTTGTCGGCAATGCAAGGATCTAAGACAATTCCAAAGACAGATGATGGAAAATGCTTAACACATCCAGAGAAAGAACTATGGAGTCTGAATGCAGATCGAAGCATATTGTTTTCTTTCTTGTGGTTTTTCCCGTTTGTTCTTATTCTTCCCTCACAACATGACTAATGTGGAAATATGTCTAATAGGATTGTACATGTATAGCCTATATCCGATTGTGTGCCGTCGTGGGGAAGGAGGAAGGGAGGGAGAAAAAAACTCAACTCCAAATCTTATAAAAGTGGATATTGAAAACTATCTTTACATGTAATTGGAAAAAACAGAATACTATTAAGTGAAAAAGAAAGAAAGAAAGAAAGATTCCTATTCAATGATGAAGTCTCTCAGATATAAATATAGGTTGTGGATATCATTAAAACCTGAATTCCTACGGAGACTCCTAAATAAGATTCACAACCATGAAAAAAAATTTGGTTTAATAGTTTATATAAGAAAACCTAGGTGGATTGAAGATACCTATTTTCCAGACCATGGTGCGCACTTGAATGGATAGTCCATTGAAGCAGTCATATGTCTTACATTACAGTTGAATGATGACTGATCCCAGCATTGAAGAGGTGGAAGAGAAGCAGGTGGGTTGCTTTTGGCAAATTAAATAACACTTTCAATGACCACAAGCGTTTCCCTGCAAGGATCCCTATTTTTTAAACACAAGTATTCTTCTGATGATGCCCCATAGCCATGAGTCATGAGACAAAGCAAGCTCTGAAGAATTGGAGTCACAGCTCACCCAGACAGCAAAGACTGCAGTGTAGAAACCATGGCTTACATGTAAGAAGTGGCGTTGAGAGATATCTTCAAAGAGATGTATTATAGAAAAGGAGGTGGGTCAATTGCGTGGCAAAGCAAGGCTTCCATTTCCCCCAGCGTCAATTGAGCTTCCTATGGAAGGCTTTTGAGAGGACTTGAGTGAGAATCTCACAGGACAGAAATAAAGGAAAGGATTGTAATCTGCACCAATGGAATGTCCACATTGTTGTCCACACATCCATTGAAATATTATATAGATGTATGCCAAGAACTTACAAGTCTTCCTTTTCTCTTGATGGGATAAAATTAAACCAGATTTTCCACCTCTGTCAGGGGGAATAGAAAAGGGAAGAGCAGACGATACGGTCAAGGAGAGAAATCAGAAAGGGACAGAGAATTGAAGAAAAAGGGAGCCTCTTCCACATCATTTCCATAATTCCATTGCTCAGTTACATATTTGTAAACAGAGAAATGCTTCAGATGTAATTGTTGGAAACTAGTCGCCAAACGTCGATGCAGGGAGCTGTGTCAATACTTCTGTGTTCACTTTTATAGACAGATACCCCCAGGCATAGAAGAATGGCATGATTTGTCCAAGGTCACCGATGAGTCAGAAAGCGTAAATTGTCCTCCTTTCGATGAGTCATTTTGACCTTCAAACACAGGGATGGTCACTTGTCAGGGATTTCATAGAGAAGATTCTTATTCAGGCGTTGGCTGACCTGGATGATTCCTGGGGACCCTTCTAACCCTGAGACTTATTCTGTTATTCTCCAGAGACGAAGTAGTCTGTCTGCTGTTGGCACAGCGTCTGTGGAAGAATGCTTGGGCATTTACACCAGTGTTTCTGAGCTGGGCTGTTTTCTCCCAGTGCCTAATGTAAGAAGTCAGTGTGAACAGTGTCTAGTGTCATCACACTGGCCAATGACATTGGACTTTGGTTCCAGAGAGATGATTGCATTGAGGCAGGATGGCTCCTGCCTGTGGTTCTTAGGGATCTGGTTGAGCAGTGGTCAGGTTTTCAGGGGAATGTACCTCCTATGTGATGTCCGGATTATCCTTTCTCCAGATATCTTGTCTAGGTACGTGCTGTTTCAATGCCATGGAGCCAGGCATGGCCTCCTTAGGAGGTTTTTCATGATCCATGCATCAAGATTAGAAAGTACCTACTGTAATCCAAGACATTTCCTCTTTCTTTAGGGATCTTCCCTTGGTTGGGGGATGGGAGAGGTGCTGTAGGATTGAGGAGAAGGGGGAAGTGGGTCCATAATCTTCTGTGTGTCTAAGGCTGATCTGATTCTAGCAAAACCTTGTGGTTTTTAAGATCTGGGCTGGGGAACCTGAGGCCTCGAGGCCACATGTGGCCCTCCAGGTCCTCAAGTGTGGCCCTTTGGCTGAGTCCAAACTTCACGGAACAAATCCCCATAATAAAAGGACTTGTTCTGTAAAACTTGGACTCAGTCAAGAGGCTGTACCCAAGGACCTAGAAGGCCACATGTGGCCTCGAGGCCACAGGTTCCCCACCCCTGGTTTAGGTCGTAAGAAGAAAAGAGATTTAATAATTGCTAGTCTAGTAGGAGGAGGGATACAGGAACACTAAAGGCAGCTAGGTAGTATAGTGAATAGCGCCGGGCCTGGAGTCAAGAAGACCTGAGTTCAAATGTGTCCTCAGACACAGCTAGCTGTGTGACCCTGGGTAAGTCACTTAACCTCTCTCAGTACCCCAATTTTCTCATCTGTAAAACTAGCACCTACCTGACAGTTTTCTTGAGGTCAAATAAATTAACATATGTAAAATGGTTTGCAAAACTTAAAGTGCCCTCTTTAATGCTAGATGTGATGAGGATTTCATTTTAAGCTAAGTGATATTTTGACTTAGTTTTAGAGAAAAAGGAATAACTATAAATAAATATATGAAATATGTGATTCAAATTATAAGGGATAAGTAGCAAATTATTAGCTATAGATTTTTCAAGCTAACCTACATGCTTCCCTAATGTGAATGCCTCAAAATGATTGTCCTACTTATTTGCTCTTTACCACTAGGAGTCACTCAATGAGACAGAATATGATAGAAAGATCACGATACCTGGGTTCTGTAGCCTGGGCAAGTCACATCTTGTTGTACGTAAATTTTTTTTCATCTGCAATTTAGAAATAGTAATATTTCCAGGGATTTCCTCTGGATTGTTGTTATTCAGTCGTATCCGACTCTCTGTGACCCCATTTGGGGTTTTCTTGGCAAAGATTCTGGAGTGGTTTGCCATTTCCTTCTCTAGCTCATTTGACAGATGAAGAAACCAAGGCAAATAAGGTTAAGTGACTTGCTCAGGGTTGTGTAACGAGTAAATGAGTCATATTTGAAGGCATGAAGATGAGTCTTTCTGATTTCAGGTCTGGTATTTTATCCACTGCCCTGCCTAGCTGCTTGAAAAATATCAGGTGCTAAACAAATTTAGGATGCCTTACAGATAGTAACTGATTACACTTATATATTCTAGAGTGGTGTAGTGGGCAGGGTGCTGGATTTGAGCTTGAGACTTGGGTTCAGATGTGAGCCTGGACACTTATTAACCATGTGACCTTGGGCAAGCCACTTACACTCTCAGTTTAAGGAGCCTCAGTTTCGTCATCTGTAGAGTGGGGATAATAACACTTGTAGTACAGATTTCCCAGGGTTGTGTCTAGTCTCCCATGAATATGTAAAGTGCTTTGTAAATCTCAAAAAACTATGTTAATGGAAGTTATTATTGTTGTTGTTATCATAGTCTTCTGGCAGAAATAATCACTCTCCCTAAGTAAAAGGGCAGGTAGGACTGTAACGCTGAACAAACAAGACTGTAAAGATAGAATGAATAATGATTCTCATTCAAAACAAGGGGCTTTGTGCCACTGGACAACTCTTCTAAGTGACAGATATGCTAAAAAACTAAAAATCAAACTGTGTTTTATGTAACATAAAAACTAGAAAACCAATTTCATCACCAAAATTAAACCTAGCCATTCATTCTCAGATTTGCTTTTATTCCTAGCTACAAGATCTCCAGTACCTGATTGAGAACATTTGGGCTTCCCAGTCAGCCCTCAGCGCCTGGAGTGATCTCTATGATTTGGTCATTGTCAGATGGAACAAAACCCAGGAATGGGCACCTTGGAACTGTATTCTCCTCACTAAAGATGAAGCAAATGCTCATCTCAAGATGAAGAGCCTTGAAGAGGTAAGAAAGATTAAAGTGTCATTTATTTAAAGATTAAAGGGCAATTTGGGAGCAATTGCTACATAATTTTAATGAAGTTAAAATGAATTACTTCCTAAATGCATATTCCCAAATCTTTATGGGTATCTGTGTTTTAAGACAGTTAACCGGTCAATCAATAATCACTTATAAAGCAAATACAGAGAAGGAAACAATTGTTTACTTTCTTTTTTTGTTTTTGGTGAGGCAGTCAGGGTTAAGTGACTTGCCCAGGGTCAATTGTTTACTTTCAAGGAACTTTGATTACAATGGGGGAGACAAATTCGTGTATAAGTACATATAGAATAAATATAAAGAAAAAAACCATAAATATAGAAAGTTAGGGAGGTAGAGCACTAGTGATTGGGGGGATCAGGAAAGTCTTTCAGTAGAAGGTGGTGTCCAAGTTAGTCTTGAAAGAAGAGAAAGAGATTGTGTGAGGTGGTGGCAAGGAGGGAGGCCGACCGTGCTGGGCACGTGAAAACTCTTATGGAGCTGGGAGATGGAGGCCATGTGTGGAGAAGAGAGAGTAGGATTGTTTAGCTTGAATACAGAGGGAGGGAAAGGACACCAGTACACATTGCTGCCGCTGTTTCTGATTTCCTCTGTGGCACAATCTCTCTGTGCTTATGTTTATCAGCAGTTTGGGAATAATATCTGTCTTTGTAGTATTGCTATGAGAATATGATAACGAATAGGAAACAACTTTCAAAGTCATGAAGGGCTACTAGTTCATAGGTGTTAAAAGCAGGTAGACGACTGTAGCCTCATTGATCTAGAATGTGAGGGGACATGAGGACCCATCCTTTCATTTTACTGAGGCCCAGGGAGGGTGACTTGCCCAAGGTCGCACAGGTGGTCATTTGAAACCAGGTAGGTGGGATTTGAGCCCAACTCCTCTGACTCTCAGGCTAGTGTTCTTTCCTTTGGACCGATTTGCCTTCTCTTTTCTGATGTTTCATTTTCTAATGATCAGTACACAATATATATAACCCCACCCACCTACACATATATCTTACATATAAGATCTGCACAAATACAAGTCTATAATGTTGAATAGTCAACGTTTTCCTACTTCCAGTTCTAAATCGTGATAATTAGTGTTTAAATGATAACAATTCACTCATCAAGCACATATCAATCACCTACCATGGGCCAGATACTGTGTTAAGCTGCGGGTGTAGGAAGGTGAGAATGAAACAGCTCATGCCCTCAAGGAGTTGCCATTCTTTCCGGGGAGACGTCATTTCCATTTATAAGTACATACAAAATGAACACGAGGTGGTTTTGACAGGGAACAGGTTGGAGTTGCTGGATCAGGAAAGGCCTCCTGTAGGGAGGTGGGGCCTGAGCTAAACTTTGAAGGAAATAGGCATTCTAAGGGGAGGAGTCAGGAGAACATTCCAGGAGCGGGGTACAGCCCTTGCAAAGGCATAGACGGGAGATGGAACATCAAGTATGAGGAACGTGGCAGGCCCATAGAGTGTGGGAAGGAGAGCAAAGGATAATAAGCCTGGGATGTAGAATAAGTTCTTACATAGATGTTTTGGTTTTTGGTTGTATAGAAGTGTTTTCTGAATGTACTTTGTATATCTGTGCATGGATCATTGAACCTTTTGTAGTAGCAAATGACATTCTTTCCTTGTCTAAAAGATCTCTTTAGCACAGCATTCCCTAGGAAGGCTCCGAAGTCTAATAAGGCTGGAGAATAGCTCAGGATCCGTGGTTCATTTCCAGCACAGACTGGCAGTGGCTGAGATGCTATCTATCACTTGTTTACCCAGGGTTTGTTAAGACAACTAAAATTGAAGAGTCCCTAAATGGCAATGCTGATTGGTGGTTTTAGAAACCCAGGATTAAATCAGCCCTGCAGGATAAATTACCTTCTTACCCTTGGGGGCAATCTCTTTAAAAAGTGCTCTGGAGATTCAGGTTTTATACCAAAATTTACACAGCAGACTGTGGAAAATGAAATGAAAATATCCCAGAATTGATTGAAATATGAATGCTCCCCTGTGACGGTTCTCATTGTATTAAGAATGGGAACTCTGTAAATGAAAAAAAGGTTTGTAAATATGAATCCATGCATCTATTTTTCTAAGGTTTAGTCATTAAAGGAGTACCTGAAAATGGAGAACACTGTAAGTTTTGTTATATTACACAGACACACTGCACTTTAACTGGCAATCATTGTGATGGAATATGGATTTAGTATAGTCACCTAGGCTCAGGGCCCCATTATTCATTTGTTTCCTGCTGCTATAAATGATAGAAGTATTGCAAAACTGAAATAGCATTTATTGTTTCCAAATTTGAAGTCAGAGATGAAATTGGTGGAACATGTTGATGAACAGATTTGAGGGTCCCTGTTGGTTTCCAAGGGAACTCTTTTCCTGAAGGCTATAGATGAGAGGATTCATGCATTTAATTCAGAAGGAAGTTTGGCCCCTCAGCAGCAGAGATGCGTTCTCTGCCCGCCATTGATTCAATCTCAGCTGCTGGTAATTCCATGAAAGATCTCACTTGGGGGAAAATAAAGAAAATGCTCTTCAAATAGTACTCGTTTTGAACATTTTCTAATTTGCCTGCTGTAGGTGTGTAGGGTTGGGGATGCTGATGTGGTTAATATGTTTCTGTTAAATTGAATTTAAAACTTATTTTCACTAGACTATTAAGAGGCAGGAGGGTGCAGTGGGAAGAAGCCCTGGGTTAATGCCTAGACTCTGAGCCTACCCCCTTCTGTAACTCACTTTGAACACATCCCTTTCCCCTTGAGAGGCTTCTCATTTCTAAAATGAGGGAGGGGCTCTGAGGCTATTTCTAGCGCTGACGTTCTGTGAGGCATTGTGGCATAGTGGGCAGAAAGCTGGCCTTGAGCCAGGAGGCCCTGGTTCTGACACACACATAGCCTCACCCTCACTATAGGCAATGCCTGAGTTGACTCTCAGTTTGACAGAAGGTACTGAGGTACGTTGGTAGAAAGGGAGACAGATCTGGGTCTTATCCACATTCTTTTAGGATTAAAAGAATGTTCACATGCAGGAGTGGGGAACCTGCGGCCTCGAGTTCACATTTTGTTCTGTGAAGTTTAGATTCAGTCAAAGGGCCACACTTGAGGACCACATGTGGCCTCGAGGCCGCAGGTTCCTCACCCCATCACATAGATCACCTCCCTGATCGTTACCACACCTGGGGGTGGGGGGAAATGGTAGGGAGCGTTCTGTGAAAATGAAAATTGAGGCTAAGTTCAGTGACCCCAGAGTGGCTGAGCTATTAAACGATGAAGCCGTGTCTCCCAGCAGATTTTGCTGTTCTAGTGGCTTTCTCCACGGCAGTGCTTCTGTATTCTCCCCAGGGAATTAAATAAAGATTACAGTAGTGTTATGTATTATATTTAATAAGCCAGGTTGCCTCATAAACATTTAATCAACCAGAAATGTAACCAAGCCTATCAGCGTCATCTCATTTAGGATAGTGGGCTGGAGCGAACCTCATTCCCAGTGCTGAGATTCCAGGGCTTCTTCAATTAATCCACACGACTCCCTTTGAGTATTTAATCTAATTACTGCAGTATCCAATTAAATGTTCTATTTGTGTGCATTTCTAATTTCAAGATGCCAGTATGATTGGATTTCTGTAAGTTGAGCTGAGGCTCCAAATCAGGCTGCCTCAAAATATTTCCTGTAGTTATGGTTTGAGGCCACTGTGGTATAAGCATTTACATTCAATTTAGGCAAGGAACAAGGAGTCTTCTCAGTTTATCTTTGTGTTGCAGGTTTAAGTATTTCCAGGCTTCTCTTAATTTATAGACTGTATTTACCCACTCAAAATGTAGAAAAAATAATCACGTCCATTTTCAGAAACTGAGCTAATCTTGAACAAGGGCCAGTAATCATGATAAGGAGATAGAGAAATACATACAGAAAGACTTCTGCTTTATTTACTTTTTTTACATAGAAAAAAACATTGAAGCCTCTCCATAGCAGATAGTATGATTTATAGTGAGGTGGGGGTGGGACTAGGGGACATAGAAAATTGGAGTTCTAGTTCCAGCCTGTATTTGGTGTCACCGATAATCCTGTCCTCACCCTCTCATCTCAGTATCTTCCCCAAGGAAGTGAATCTGCTTTTTCAAAGTCCATCTCAACTTTGTTCATTTTAATGGGGTGTCCAGTGCTTTCTAGGCACTGGTACAAAAGGATGTGGATAAGACCCGGATCTGTCTCCTTTTCTACCAACGTACCTCAGTACCTTCTGTCAAACTGAGAGTCAACTTAGGCATTGCCTATAGGGAGGGTGAGGCCATGTGTGTGTCAGAACCAGGCCTTCTGGCTTCAAGTCCAGCTTTCTGCCCACTACGCCACAATGCCTCACAGAACATCAGCGCTAGAAATAGCCTCAGAGCCCCTCCCTCATTTTAGAAATGAGAAGCCTCTCAAGGGGAAAGGGATGTGTTCAAAGTGAGTTACAGAAGGGGGTAGGCTCAGAGTCTAGGCACTGGTACTTCATCATTTTCCCCCAAAAAGGTTAAATACTTTTTTCTTCCTGATACTTGTTCTGTTGACATATGCATTTGCTTTTGGGTTTAGAAAACCCCATTGTGGGAAACGTTAGGCTTCTTTACCCTCAACTGCAGCTCTCCACAGAAACCATTTGTGCTTAGCACTTAGCACCCAGCCAGATGCATTTCTTCTTACTGTGGTCTAATGGTCAGATTCCTTTGCTGTTGTCAAGTTCCTAGGCAACTAATGCATATTGGTTACCTACTTGATACACTTGAAGTTCTACCTCGGTGGTATTAAAATTAAGTTTCTGTAACTTGATTTTTATGTACTTATTTTTAAAGTTTTATTGATGTATTTTGTTTTTATATTACAAATACCTCCAGATTACTTCCGCTACATAAGAACTCTCTTGTAACAAAAGAAAACAATTAAGCAAAAACTAACAAAAAAAGTGATGGCATCTGAAAGTTCATGCAACATTCCCTATCTGTGGCACTTCTAAGCTTTCTATTTTTAAGTGAGTTAGTTTTTTTACTTGAACAGAAATCTATTTTTTCACCTTGCCACTGCCATCTCATTAGAAAGAAAGAAAAGAAAAGAAAAAAACAAATTCCTTGTAACAAATATATATTCAAGCAAAACCAATTTTCTCATTGACTATATAGAAATATAGAGATAAAAATAAATGCACATTTATGTGTATGTATCGACTGTGCATGTTTGTTACAAGGAATATATAGGGATATATACATGTACCATACACACAGATATACATATATACATGTATACACATATGTATAAAATTCTATATGCTAAATCCAGCACCTCTTTATCAGGAAGTAGATGGCATGTATATTTCTTTATTTTTTAATTTTTAGGCAATTGGAGTTAAGTGACTTGAGTGACTTGCCCAGGGTCACACAGCTAGTAAGTGTCAAGTGTTTGGTCTGAGACTGGATTTGAACTCAGGTCCTCCTGACTTCAGGGCCGGTGCTCTATCCACTGCGCCACTCAGCTGCCCCAAAGGGCACTTTCTTTCTTTCTTCCTTTCTTTCTTTCTTTCTTTCTTTCCTT